AGAGACTACAGCCATGTGGGCTGGTGGCCAAAAAATTGCTCTAAGGCCCAAGAATTAACACCCAGATATAAAAAGAATGCTAATTGGTTTTCCAGCTGAAAAATAATAAGGTACTTGGTGCCAAAAATGCTGTATGGCATGGAAACCCCAAGTTTATACAATAGGACCTGATTGCAATCTGGGGGCTCCATTTGTACTTGTATGTAGAGCTAAACAAAGGGAGGTGTTTCGCTCTTCTGCCTTTGTAGAAAGCCTCTGCTCCAGATCTCAGCCTGGTGTTGCACCAGGCTTCCCACAGTCTTCCTGCCAAATCTCCAAGTTTTTTCCTGGCTGCCATTCAGGAAAGTACAGCTTCGTCCGTAGGATGGAAAGTTAAAAAGGCCTTGCTTGGATACGCTGCAATATATACAAACACTAGTTGACGTATGGAGCAGGTTGGTTTTATACAGGGTGCTCCTCACTGCATTCTAAGGAAAAAGAATGTGAGATTTTTAAAAACAATTTCAGTTAGTGAAGGAGATATTTGCTAGAAGAAAACAAAATATTTTTAAAGTAAATTCAACATTCCTCTTAATACCAACAATCATCCTCCTTATTTACTCATTTGTAAAATGTCAACTTACCTCCAAATGTCCAACAAGCTTGGGCCATCCGTAACGTAACGTCCAAGTTTAGTATATACAAAAGGTACTAAACGTAGATACTCCAACAAGAAGGTCATTGTAAGGTCACCCCAGGTTGTAGTGAGTCATCTCCGGACCATTGGCGGATGCTCATACCGATTGACTGATTGCCAGCTTTGCACTGTGACTCCAGGTCGGCACCACTGATGCAAAGTGCTTGAATCAAAGGGGTTTCCTGATACTCTGAACTCTCTTCTCAGTATTTCCAGTTGATGGTAAACATCACTGCAGAATTCAGAGCATTTAACTAAAGTTATCCAAAAATCTTTTTAAATTAGAGTTATACTAAAATACACTATTGTCACCAGTTATGGTCAGAGACTGTGGGTATGTTACTTGTATTACATGTAAAAATGTAACTAAGTTAAAAATATTTTATGAAAAATTAGCTTGACAAGAGAAGTAAAAGATATTCTCAAAATAACCAACTTCTGTCAAAATATGCAGAAAATAAAAGAGGCAATAAAGTTCCATTAATGTGTACAAAATAAATTATTTTGACAGAAACTGGCAAAAAATTGTCATTTTGTTTCTATGAATGCTTTTCTTTTGTTTGCATGTTATTATTAGTGCATTTCCCCCTCAAGTAGCTAGGTAGAATGGATTATCTTTAAGAGTTTGGAAAGCATTTATTTAAAGATGCTGAGGGGCCTCCCTGGTGGCGCAGCAGTTGAGCGCTGGGCTGCGAAGCTGCCCGCAGCCTCTGCAGTGCCGGTTCGATCCCCGGCCACCAGCGAGGGTCCCACATGGCACGCAGACCTCTCCTGCCACCCGCTGCTCCCCTCAGCAGTGTATTTCGTCAGTCTGCCTGTTCTGTTCCTTGCTCTGGCTCTGGTGAATCCTCTCACCCTCCTGCACTTCTGAGTGTATCCAGTGCTTGTATATATAAATAAATAAATCTTAAATAAAAAAAAGATGCTGAGCACCAGGATTTATACATGCAGGAGAAACTAATAATAAAATGGGGAAGGAGCACAATGGACTGTGATGGTGACTAGGGGTGTTTTCATGGTGGATGTGGTCACAACACCTGAAGGGGAGACCCTGGAGTTCTGAAACACGAACAATGATTTAAGCTAATGTTGTCTCAATTAAAAAAAAAATTAAGAGGGCCTCCCCGGTGGCGCAGCGGTTGAGCGCTGGGTTGCGAAGCTGCCCGCGGCCTCTGCAGCACCGGTTCGATCCCCGGCTGCTCCCCGGCCACCGGAGGAGGGTCCCACATGGCGCGCAGACCTCTCCTGCCGCCCGCTGCTCCCCTCAGCAGTGTACTTCGGTCCCTCTGCCTGCTCTGCTCCCCGCTCTGGCTCTGGTGAATTCTCTCACCCTCCTGCGCTTCTGACTGTACCCAGTGCATGTATAAACAAAACAAACAAACAAATAAATAAATAAAACATGCCTCTATAAAAAAAAAAAATTAAGAACCGTTGAGTTAGTATTGCTGGCCTTTAATATGGTTCTTCCCCATTAAACCAAATTCAGTGTCCTCCATCTGTCACATAGGCTCCAGTCTATTGTGGTACATTCCTGCCTCCGTAACTTTATGCTTGTTCTTTCCCTCACCTAGAGTTTTTTATTGCAAGGAGCAGAGACCACTTGGCTAGCTCAAAATAGGAATGTCTTGTAAGCCTATGAGTCCAAGACGTTGCCTTGCAGAATATGAACTGAGAACTATGGGAGGCCTAGCCAGCTCTCCCTCTCTGACTCAGGATCACGCAATATCCTGCTGACTCTTTCCACTTTCTTCTACTTTCTCATTCTTCCCTTTTCTCTCTGCTAAATTTCCTTGCTGTATCATTTCCAGGCAATTTCAGCACAAGCAGCTGTTTTGGACCACTCCTGGGGTGGCGAAGTTTCAGGGAAGGGTGATATGAGTATGTAGGCACAACAAACATATCCACTACCTGCAAGTTGTATTATTCACCCAAGGCAAATTCCTTAAGGGCAAGTAATAGCTTATATGTTGCTTACTTGATTACTTGTATCACTGTGTTAGCATAGTACTTTGCATCTACCAAGTGATTCATAAACTTGGATGCATAGAAGAATCACCTGGGAAACTTTTAGAAGCATTTCAGCATCCAGTTTTCCCCATTGCCACCACCAGAGATTCTGATTTCATTGGTAGGTTTATCACCCAGACACCAGAAATCAAGGACTTCTGTTTCCCAGATGCTAGACCTATTCTTTTTTTTTTTTAAGATTTATTTTATTTATGCAAGGGCCGGGGTACAGGCCAGATGCGCAGGAGGGTGAGAGGGGATTGGTGAGAGGATTCATCAAAGACAGAGCGGGGAACAGAACAGGCAGATTGACTGAAGTACACTGCTGAGGGGAGCATCGGGCGAGACATGAGAGGTCTGCTCGCCATGTAGGTTGCTCCGAGGCCGGCAGGAATTGAACCGGCACTGCAGAGACTGTGGACAGCTTCACAGTGCTGCTCTCAACTGCCTGCGTCACCAGAGAGTTTTTTTTTTTTTTTTTTTTTTAAGATTTATTTATTTATACAAGAAAACTGGGGTACAGTCAGAGGCACGGGAGGGTGAGAAAATTCACCAGAGACAGAGCGGGGAGCAGAACTGGCAAACTGACCGGAAGACACTGCTGAGGGGACCCGTGGGAGAGGCAGGAGAGGTCTGCTGTACCATGTGGATTTCTCTCTGGAAGGCCGGGAATCGAACCTGTGCTGCAGAGGCTGCAGACAGCTTCATAGCGTGATGCTCAACCCGCTGCACCACCAGGGAGGCCCAAGACCTATTCTTACTGAGATCAGAGCCATAAGAAATTTTATTCAAATAATGAAAAAGTGATTACCCTCATATCTGAAAACCTGGCGGAAATTCAAGAACTGTTAAAGACCTTAAATTTCTTGCTTGTCCTCAGTAGTAGGGTAACTGTAAATTACATTCATATTATCTTAGGTGTTGTGAATACTAGTAATATCAGTAACTTTATAATGGCATTTTAGATATATATCTTTTATAAAAAGATACTAAAATTTTCAAGTTTACATTTTTTATTTCCCCCATTCCAAAAACTCATTTTTTAAAAACATGGTAATAAAAGGTTTTTTCTGCATTTTTTGCATAAAACTGGGGTGTACATGAGAGGTGGGGGGATTAGTGAGAGGATTCATCAAAGACAGAGTGGGGAGCAAAACAGGTGGATATACTGAAATGCATGGCTTAGGGGAGTAGCAGGCAAGCCAGGATAGGTCTGCATGCAGTATGTGAGTTAGCTCCCTGGTTGGGGCTTGAACTCAGGCCTTAAATTAGTGCATCTTCAATATGCAGCCCTGTGCATGGATTCTTTGTACAATAGGTTTCATGTAGCTAGAGAAATTTAAATTTTAATAGTAAATTCTGAAGTGATGACAACTCAAAATGCCAGTTATATGATAATTTTCAAAATTTTTTCAGTGGTAATTTTGATATTAACATTCAGTAAATTTGGACAGAGTCAAATTTGCCTCCAGAATACTACGGGGCTGATTATAGCAGGCACTAAATAAAGATACTCATTCAGATACTCATTACAGTATCCTTGTGGTTACCAAGGTCTGCCTTAGGCTTTACAACTGTCTGATATGATTGACTAGTTGGAGAATTTGTTGAGAATAGTTTCTATAGTTCTTCACCCTGATCAGGATAAGCAAGGGGATTTCCCAGGCTTTCAAGTAAATTGAATCAGTTACTGGTTACTGAGGAAATAACACTGCCTTTCCTGTCCAGTGTCTCTGAGACCACGTTGGGACATTTGTTAACAACCTCTTGAAGTCAAGCCACCCTAATCTTAAGAACACATTGGGCAATGATTTCTTTTTAAGATTTATTTATTTATGCATACAAGAACTGGGGTACAGGCCAGAGGTGCAGGGGCGGGGGAGAGGATTCACCAGTAACAGTGACAGAGTGGGGAACAAAATAGGCAGATTGAGTGAAATACTCTGCTGAGGGGAGCAGCAGGCGAGGCATGTGGGTAGCTGCACCATGCGGGTACCTCCCTGGCCAGGGATCGAACTCATGCTGCAGCTATTGTGGACAGCTTCATAGGTTGTGTCTTAACTCCTTGTGCCACCAGGGATGCCCCTATTGGGCAATGATTTTTGAAATAAACTGTGGATCATAAGTTTTACATTTTAACCCCTATTTCTTTCTCTGAGGGGTCATTTTGCCCTGTAACCTGAAATACTGTTAAGGAAGATATGGTAACACGGACTTCTTTGGCATAAGCTTTAGAGAAAGAATATGTACTATGGAAGACATCTCAACCAGTTTTTGATACAGCATAACCAGACTCAGTTTCCTTCTTGTGTTTCAGCACAGACTGGTGCAGTATGGACACTCTGTAATCTCTGAGCATCTTGAAGATCCCTTCTTGGAATTGCCACGATGTGCATAATGGTCAGTAATACGGAATTTTGATGCTAATTTTTTTTTTTTTTTTAAATAATAAATTTTATTTTTATATTCCCCCATACAATTGCAAACGCCCCATTCTGACCCCAAACCTTCCATTCCCACCCCCCACCCCCCAAAAAGTGTCTCTGGTTCATAGATTTTTGTTGATTTTGATTTTCACTTTCTTATATTCATTTTCCTGGTCCTTATTTAAGTTTTCTAGATTTCTGCTATGAGTGAGACCATCCGGTATTTTTCTTTTTCTTTTTGGCTTATTTCGCTGAGCATGATCCCTTCCAGCGCCATCCATGTTGCTGCAAATTGCATGTGTTTATCTTTTTTGAATGCTGAGTAATATTCCATGGTATATATGTACCACATCTTCTTGATCCAGGCATCTATTTTTGGGCATTTGGGTTGTTTCCAAAGCTTAGCTATTGTAAACAGTGCTGCTATAAACATAGGGGTGCAGGTGCTCTTTGGAATTGATGTTTCTGTGTCCTTTGGGTAAATACCTAGGAGTGGAATTGCTGGATCCTATGGAAGCTCTATGTTTAGTAGGTCCAGAAATCTCCACACAGCTCTCCATAGTGGTTGGACCAGTTTGCACTCCCACCAACAGTGCAGAAGAGTTCCTTTTTCTCCACAACCTCGCCAACATTTGTTGTTGCTAGTTTTTTTAATATGTGCCATTCTCACTGGTGTAAGATGGTATCTCATGGTAGTTTTGATTTGCATTTCCCTGATTACAAGTGATGTTGAACATTTTTTCATATGTCTGTTGGCCATTTGCATTACCTCTTTAGAGAAGTTTCTTTTCAGCTCTTTTGCCCATTTTTTGACTGGATTATTTTCTTTGTTGTTGCTGAGTCTCATCAGCTCTTTGCAGATTTTTGTGATCAGTCCTTTATCATTAGTGTTGTGTGCAAAAATGTTCTCCCAGTTGGTGGGGTTTCTCTTTGTTTTTGTTATTGTCTCTTTTGCTGTGCAGAAGCTCTTTAATTTGATGTAGTCCCAGCTGTTTATCTTTGCCTTCACTATCACTGCTTTGGGTGATGTGTCTGTAAAGATGTCTTTGATGTGCAAATCCCGTAGTGTTTCGCCTATATTTCCTTCTATGTATTTTATGGTTTCAGGTCTTATGTCTAGTTCTTTAATCCATTTTGAGTTGATTTTTGTGTATGGTGTGAGGTAGTGGTCAAGCTTCATTCTTTTGCATGTAGCGACCCAGTTTTCCCAGCACCATTTATTGAACAAACTTTCTTTGCTCCAATGCATAGTCTTTGCTCCTTTGTCAAAGATTAGTTGACCATAAATCTGTGGGTTTATTTCTGGATTTTCTATTCGATTCCATTGGTCTGTATGTCTGTTCTTGTTCCAATACCATGCAGTTTTGATGATTATGGCTTTGTAGTATAGTTTGAAGTCTGGGAGTGTGATGCCTCCATTTACTTCTTTTTTTTTTTCAGTAGAGCTTTGGCTATTCGGGGTTTTGGTGATTCCATATGAATTTCATCAATAATTGTTCTATTTCTTTGAAGAATGCCATTGAGATTTTGATTGGAATAGCATTGAATCTGTATATTGCTTTTGGTAGGATGGCCATTTTAATAATGTTTATTCTTCCAATCCATGAGCAGGGGATGTCTTTCCATTTCTTTGTGTCTTCTTCTATTTCTTTTAACAGTGTTTTATAGTTTTCTTTGTATAGGTCCTTTACCTCTTTTGTTAGATTTATTCCCAAATATTTGATTTTTTTTTGTTTCGATAATAAAAGGGATGGTTTTTTTGATTTCTTCTTCTTCAGATTTATTGTTTGTGTATAGGAAAGCTACTGACTTTTGCGTGTTGATTTTATATCCTGCCACTTTACTGAATTGATTGATGAGTTGAATTAGTTTTTCTGTGGAGATTTTGGGGTTCTCTATGTATGTTATCATATCATCTGCAAATAGTGATAGTTTGACTTCTTCTTTTCCTATGTGGATTCCTTGGATGTCTTTCTCTTGTCTTATTGCTCTGGCTAGGTCTTCCAGTATTATATTGAAAAGCAGTGGTGAGAGTGGACATCCTTGTCTTGTTCCAGATCTTAATGGAATTGCTTTCAGCTTTTCACCATTGAGAATGATACTGGCTGTTGGCTTGTCATAGATGGCCTTTATGATGTTGAGGTATGTTCCTTGTATCCCAAGAATTTCAAGGGCTTTTATCATGAATGGGTGTTGCACTTTGTCAAAAGCTTTCTCAGCATCTATTGATATTATCATATGGTTTTTATATTTCTTTTTGTTGATGTGTTGGATAACGTTGATTGATTTTCGGATGTTAAACCATCCTTGTGCCCCTGGAATGAATCCAACTTGGTCGTGGTGAATTATCTTATGGATACATTGTTGGATTCTGATAGCTAAAATTTTATTGAGGATTTTTGCATCAGTGTTCATTAGGGAGATTGGCCTATAGTTTTCCTTTTTTGTGTTGTCCTTATTTGGTTTTGGTATTAGTGTAATATTGGCTTCATAGAACGTGTTTGGTATTGTCCCTTCCTTCTCAATTTTTTGGAAGAGTTTGTGAAGGATAGGCACTAATTCGTCTCTGAATGTTTGGTAGAATTCATTTGTAAATCCATCAGGTCCTGGGCTTTTGTTTTTGGGGAGGTTTTTGATTACCATTTCAATTTCGCTGCTTGTAATTGGTCTGTTTAGGTGTTCTATTTCTTCCTTTATCTAGCTTTGGGTGATTGTAGAGTTGTAGGAATTTGTCCATCTCCTCTAGATTGTTGAACTTGTTTCCATATAACTGTTCATAGTAGTTACTGATTATTCTTTTGATTTCTGCTGTGTCCTTTGTGATTTCTCCTCTTTCATTTATGATCCTGTGTATTTGTGCTTTCTCCCTTTTTTCCTTTGTGAGCCTGGCTAGGGGTTTGTCTATTTTATTTATTTTTTCAAAGAACCAGCTCTTGGTTTCATTGATCTTTTGGATTGTTTTTTTAGTTTCAATTTCATTTATTTCTGCTTTGGTTTTTATAATTTCTTTTCTTCTACTGGTTTTGGGGTTTTTTTTTGTTGTTCTTTTTCTAGATCTTTGAGCTTCGAGATTAGGTTGTTTCTTTGAGTTTTTTCTTGTTTTTTGATGTGAGCTCCTATTGCTATATATTTTCCTCTTATTACTGCTTTTGCTGCATCCCATACATTTAGGATATTGGTGTCCTCCTTGTCATTCAATTCAAAGAATTTTTTAATTTCTTCTTTGATCTCCTCGTTAGTCCAGTGGTCTTCCAGTAGTGTGGTTTTTAATCTCCATGAGGTAGGATAGTTCCTTGCCTTCTTTTTATGATTTATTTCTAGTTTGATGCCTTCGTGGTCAGAAAAGATGGTTGGTATGATTTCAATCTTGGTGTATCTGTTGATGTTTGTCTTGTGCCCCAGTATGTGATCGATCCTGGAGAATGATCCGTGTGCGCTTGAGAAAAATGTGTACTCCGTTTTTTTTGGATTTAGTGTTCTATAGATGTCTGTTAAGCCCAAATGCTCTAGGTCCTTATTTAGAGCTTTAGTTTCTTTACTTATTTTTTGTCTTGTTGATCTATCCATTGTTGATAGTGGTGTGTTGAAGTCTCCCACGACGTATGTGTTTTCTCTGATGTCTGTTTTCAGAGAGGACAACAGTTGTCTGATATATTTTGGTGCTCTTTCGTTTGGTGAGTATATGTTAATGAGTGTTATTTCTTCTTGAAGTATTGTCCCCTTGATCATAATGTAGTGACCATTGGGGTCTCTTTTTATTTTTTTGAGTTTGAAGTCTGTTTTATCTGATATAAGTATAGCTGTTCCTGCTTTCTTTTTTGGCCCATTTGCTTGTAGGATTGTTTTCCATCCTTTGACTTTGAGCCTATTTTTATCTTTTGTAGCTAAATGTGTTTCCTGGAGACAGCAAAAGGTTGGGTTTTGTTTCTTAATCCAGGCTGCAACTCTGTGTCTTTTTATTGAAAAGTTTAGTCCATTTACATTTAGAGTTAATATTGATATGTTAGCATCTGTATTTGCCATTATGTTTGTCTTTCCTTTGATTTTATTTATTTATTCTTTTAATAACTTTTTTTTTTTTTTTTTGGTCTTCTTTCGTTGTTATTCGTCCCTCTGAGGTTCTGGCTTTAGGATTCCTTGTAGTATTTTTTGGAGTGGGGGTTTAGTCTTAATGAAATTCCGGAGTTTCTCTTTGTCTGGGAAGGTCCATATTCTTTCTTCATGGAGGAAAGAGAGCTTTGCGGGATAGAGTATTCTTGGTTGGCATCTGTTTTCCTGGAGTCTGTTGACTATGTCCCTCCACTCTCTCCTTGCCCGTAGTGTTTCTTCAGAGAAGTCTGATGTCAGCCTGATTGGTTTTCCTTTGAATGTTATCTGTTTCTTCCCTCTTGTCAGCTTCATTATTTTTTCCTTGTCCTGGATTCTTGGGAGCTTTACTATTATGTGTCTTGCTGTGTTTTTCCTTTCGTCGTGGAAGTTTGGTGTTCTTCTTGCTTCTTGTATATCAATTTTCATTGATGCTAATTCTTAAGCTTCCTCTGAGAGAGATGTAAACCATTTAACTTTTTCTTGCAAGATAATGGTGTTGTCTAGAAATGGTTCTCAGAGACACCATGCTTGAGGCTGAACAGGAATTGGTGTGTCTCACCAGAAGGTATTCTGCGGTGTGTACTGCTGCGCAGTACAAGAAAGTTATGCTTATTTGGTGGGTATAGCAGGTGAAGCTGTGACTTGCTATGAACTCTGTATCTTATCTCATTTGTCAGCACTGAGTCTAGGACCTTTGCATATGTTACTTTTAATCCCAAACCAAATGACGCCAAGTTTTCATTGTGAACTTCTTAACTACTTTCTGCTATGTATTATCAAAGTATTCCCTTGAGCTTTAAAGTAGACAGATGGCACAATTCAGCAATATACACATTTTGCTTTTTATGTGTTGAAAAATCTAAATTTGAAAAACTTGTTAGTAGG